CTATGTCCCCGCACAACATGGCCACCACGGCCCTCTTCTGTTTCATGGTTCCCCTTGCGATGAAGGTCTGCGTCTGGGTGATGTAAGCTTTCGGCACAACGGCGCGAGACGTGGAGTTATCGAATTCAGCGAAGACTGGAATTACTTCACCCGGCGTGTAGCCCTTGCGGTCAATCTTTGCGGTGATCGACACCTGCCCGCAGTTGCGGTACCAGATGCGGGCCATCTTCTCTTGGGTTCCAGCTTGAGGCGCCTGAAGATAAAAACTCTGATTTAGCGTGCACAAAACTATAAACCGAAAATAACAAAGCGACAGCCATTCTGAGCTCCTACCAGCAAACTCGGTGTGTTGATGTCAATGGGCTCGATAACCGTGAACTCTTTCTTGATCTTCTTGACAGTGGCCCATGGGCGATGCAGCTTAACCTTCACCCAGTATCGAATGCTGCCGTGCTTGCCCTCAAAAGATGTCACTAGGGTTCTGACAGACAAAACACTTACATTAACGCTCATATCCTTGCAGAACTGTCCAAACAAAGCTCACTGATAACATTTTTATGAGACTAATAAAGCAAGCAACGCTTACTCCTCTGGCAGCTGGAAACTGAAAGGGTACTCGTGTCTCCCGGCAGGCAGGACTGTCAGTTCACCATTATCTGGAGGGGAAGAAAGGTAAAGAAACATGATTGCACCAATGGATCATAAACACACAACAATAAGGGCAGTAGTATCAGAATTGCATATGATGATATAACACAAAACATACCATCAACTGCTGTTGTCACTAAGGAATATTTTGTCTAGTTCATTCAAAACCTTTCGGTTAAGCTTTTGTTAGTTGTTAAAGGCATAAAGTAGAATTTGTTTCTCATTTAGCCCCAGCCTCTTGAATAGTAATAGCTGACTTAGCAGCTATTAAATATTGCTCACCTTAATAGTTATTTACACATTAACCAAACTGCTGATGTAAAGGTACTGCTTCACTCAAATTAAACACACAAAAATGTAAAATTAAGACTAATTTAAGTCCTTATTAACTAAAAACTGCTGTTTACAAGAAGAATGTAGCGATTTCCGTTGAGTGAGTCAATTATTATCGATTATTTCGAGTAAAATACGTTCAATTAATTGCTTAATCCAACTGAAAAAACAGATCTCGTTATCGAGTCCAGTTCTTTTTAATCAATGGTCTTGTAGAATGATTAATATTAACTGAAAGATAACGCACACAGCATACGAGTAGACATTTTGATGCTTTTTTTCCCTTAGCTTCAAGCAGTTTTCACTTTATGTTTATTTTTAAAATCACGTGAGAAAGCAAGTCTGGTTTAGAACGACATGAGGGAGAATTATAACAGAAATGTTGTTTTTATTTTTGGGTGAACTCCTTGAATTGTCGACTCAGTTTGACTGAAAGGCGTAAACAAGTTTGAACGTCTTCTAGTTAGGCAGCCCACTCTGGCTGCGAATGACTGACCTGCCTGCAGCAGAACTTCTCTCCGGTTTAAGTACTCCACTTCATCGCTGTAGTTCTGCGTGTAAGCCGCGCTGGACCCGGCGCTGCGAGACTCGGTCCAGTGGACTTTAGCGAAACCTTCTGCATGCAACTTCAGTGACTCCACTTTAGTCTCCGCCGAGAGCTCGAGCACAACCTTCCCTGAGACGACATCTCCGCTGCTGAACACCGGAGGACAGTCCAGCTCCGGAGAATCAAGCACTATGTCGAACTTTTTCAGCTTGTCGAAAATCATCTTTGGTTTTTCCCAAGTGCAGCTCTTGAAGTATGTCTAATTCAGACGTGCGAAGTCAAACAAAGAGCGCGGGCGTGCATTCAAGTGCAAGGAAGCTGCTCTTCCTTCAGGTTCAAAACAAAACTGAAGCTGTGCATGTTCCCTGAAGGGCCTTTAACTCGTGTGGGCGGTCTTACTGATTTTATTATGTAAGGCCTATTGCAGGAATCGCTGCTTGCTCATAAACATCTTAACTGGGTGTGGATGGAGAGGGAGCTCGGATGATTGATGCTTACAGGTTCTTAGACAAAAACAAGCTGACTGAGCATGCCCAAAGCAGAGGAACCTCCCAGTGAAGAAGTTCAGCAAAACAAAAACGGGTTCGTTCTGTGCTGTTGTGCTACTTTCTATCAGTCACGTTTCTGAAAGATGCGCATATGCGAACCTCCTTTGCATAATATATAAGGTAAACAAACACTTGAAGCCATTTCAGTCTCTCAAACACGTAGTGGCACTGCAGAAAGTGTATGAACTGCCAGAAGTATTAAGGTGGTCAAACAAACATGCAAAAGCACTTTTCTCAGACTTTTATGACCAAAACAACTTGTTTATTTGTTAGCAGCGAAGTAAAGTTCCCGCATCGCCCTCTCGCGGTGGATTCGCTTCTGTAGTTTAACGCCTCGCACATGTTCGTGTGCTTCGTTCTCCCTCTAGTGGTTTAAAGCTAATAATTACTACGTGAGGACTGTCACGTCTGTGCTGCCAAGTCACAAGCTGTTTATGTAGATAATGATAAGAAAGCCTGGCCATGCGATTTCTTAAACTGACACTGCGGTATGTAGACACGCAGCAAAACTGTGTAGCGCTCTGTTTTGACACAAGAACCAACTTTAATTGGCCGAAACTGTAAAATAGCCAAATATTGGCCAATCCAAGCCTTCAGAGAAGAACGGATGTGAGCCAGTGTCTGAAATGCATATTAGTAATCATATTCCTTAAAGGACTCTTCATTGTCAGTTGTGATATCTGACAAAACATGGGCTGTGATGACGGATCTTTCATCTGTCCACAGCCTCATTTCTCTTTATCACTGAAGAAAGAAAAGTCTGTTTGCATTCTGATAATCTTTGATAACTTGGAGAAAAAAAACGAAAAAAAAAAACACTCGGCTCACTTGACATACTGTCAGTGAAGAAAAATGCAATGAGGGAACTAATAGTCAAATTTTTTTTTTATAAAGTTAAAGAAAAACATTTGTTTAAATAATTTGACAAAGATTATTTACTTATTGTAATTTACTTATCTTTCTCTCATTACACTAAATAAATCACAAATTATTTTATAATTACAAAACAACTACAATTAATTGAATATTAATTCAACAGTGTGTCAAAAGTGTTCTGTTATATATATATATATATATATATATATATATATATATAGTCGTATCATTGTTAGATATTGTTGAGAGGATCAAGACCTCTAAGGACAGGGCAAAAATATTAAGGTGTATACAGACTGAAACTTTGGATTTGATTGCATTTAAACCAGCTACGTTGCATGCTAGATAATAGTTTACCAGACATAGCTTATATAATACATCTCAAACAACAAAACAGTATTGGAACACCATATTGTACTGCATTCGCAGAAACTGCCAATTACTGCTGCAAAGTGTTGAAATCAACTAGTTGGTCATAACATCTATAACTATTACATTATACAGGTACATCTCAAAAAATTAGAATGTCATGAAAAAGGTCAATATTTTTTGTCACTCATTTCAGAAAGTGAAACACATATATAGATTCATTACACATAGAGTGAAATATTTCAAGCCTTTATTTCTTGAAATTTTGAGTTTTCAGAGCAGTAAAACACAACCTGATAACCTGTAAATCAGTACTTCCTATTAACATCAACCCAAACGTGCCTTTATTTCATTTGAATGACAATAACTGAGCTTTTATCACCTTGGTGAGAAGCATTTGGCTTGTGAAGTGCAGTTGCTCTTGTGTATTTCACCTAAACAGATGAATGATTAACCAGATCACACGTTTGCTCAGCGTTATTCCTCCTGTGCCAGCTGTCAAAGGTCACGAAGAAGAAGCCAGTCATTAGTGAAACTACTGCATGACCACTCTTAAAGGGGCAGTTCACCATTTTGTCGTGATTTACTCTCCCTCATGTTGTTCCAAACCTGCATGACTGACATTCTTCGTCATTTTTTGTATTCATAATGAATGGTGATTGAAGATGTGACGCCTCGAAAAGGGCATAAATATCACCGTAAAAATGGCCCTCACAAGCTAAATAAGCCTTCAGGAGCCATATGATATGATAGTAAGGAAACTCACCATTATGTTATGCACATCATTACTGATAATATTGATATCTGCCCTAACTCACTGAGGATTCCTAAATACATGAAAACTAGTGATATGTCCGTTGTTCGCTTAGTGAATGAAAATTACACAAAACCGATATGACTGACGCATTCACAATTCAGACTGATACAACTGAAAAAAAAAGTATTACAAACCAAAAGTTTTTGTATTTTACATAAAGCTCCCATACGGATTCAGAGGATTTGGAATATTCTGCCCTCAAGGCTTTTATTATGATATCTATGGTGAGTTACCATTCATTGTAAGTTCATGGAAAAGACCAGTTGGGATATTCTACAAAATTTCTCTTTTTGTGATGCACAGACATACAACAAAAAAATATATTTCAAATATATTGTTTAAATAAATAAAAAAATAAAAAGCCAAAAAAAAATGTTTGGGGCTTTTTGTTTTTGTATACTTTTGAAAATAAATTAACAATATAAACATTTTTTAAAAGCATTTAAAAATATATTTTGCCCTCCATATATTTCAATTCTAAATAAATAAATTCACATCCCATTTTAAGAAAAACTTCATTTGTCTATAGTACGTATAGGAACACATTTATTTATTTATTTAGTAATTTATTAGACGCTTTTATCCAAAGCAATACATTTGAATAAAAATCAGCAAGGAATAAACTTTACAATGTTCTAAAACAAATACAATATATAATTATACTTTATTTTGTATAATTAAATTAGTATAAATTAGTATAATTATAAATTAATAAAATATATGAAATGTAAATGAAGCATTATTAAATCATACATCTAATTTTGATGTCTAGTTAGGCTATTCTTTCCACCACATTTGTATTATTTAGCCTAAATGCTACTGTAGGCTGATGATACACGGGGCAACTTTGGTTAATGTTGGCATCAACGGGCAACCAGGTGAGACACTGGGCCCACGACTGATTTAAGTATCCATGTGTTACCCATTCTCAGTGGGAAAATGCCCAAGCAACATCTAAAATACATGCCTCTGAAATACATTAATTTTGAAATATAATTTGGTATATTAAGGTTGAAACTATAACTACATATTTAGCATATATTTAAATCATATTTTGGCCAGAAATGACACCAGTGTTGGGGGTAACGCATTACAAGTAACGCGAGTTACGTAATCAGATTACTTTTTTCAAGTAACTAGTAAAGTAACGCATTACTTTTTAATTTACAAGAGAATATCTGAGCTACTTTTTCAAATAAGTAACGCAAGTTACTTTTGTTTCCAATTTATTGACTGACAGCTCTGGTGTTGCCATAATGGTAATCCCATTCTATTAACCAATGTCTTTGCTTCTGACCTTCGATGATCCAGTTCAACCGTACTAATAAGCACAAATTACTCTAGACAAACATTTGTGTGTCTTTGTTTATTGCTGAAGTGTGTTGAAATGTCTTCTTCTGCATTCTACTGTACGGACGTAAATTTACTTTCCCTTCAGCCTGAGGCTTATTCATTTCACTTTTGGTGTGAAAAGGCTTTTATATTTGCCAAAAATATAACTTTTTTATTTTAAAAACAAACAAGCAAGCCCTGTCCAGATTTAAAAAGTAACGCAAAAGTAACCTACCGCATTACTTTCCATATAAAGTAACTAAGTACCGTAATTCGTTACTTTTTTAATGGAGTAATACAATATTGTAATGCATTACTTTTAAAAGTAACTTTCCCCAACACTGAATGACACACACACACACACAAATATATACATTGCTAAATGGGGAGATAAACTCAAACGCTTTCTTATTTTTTGAGTGAGCCATCGCTTTAAATATCCAACGAGTTGATAAATCCGTTCAAACCCACCTCGGATAAGGTGCTGTCGCTTCCTGAAGTAAGTGATCTTGGATGTGTAGTCGTTATAGACGGTGTTCACGCCGACGCTGCGGTTTTCCAGCCAGTGGGCTGCAGCGACCCCGCGTCTCAGGACTCTCAGGGCTCGGACTTTGATTTCCCGGTTGAGCTCCAGGATCACCACGCCAGTGATCATCTCTCCACTGCTGTACACAGCATCCCCCGGACCGTCCAGCTCAAGAGCAAAGAGTTTGACGCTTCGGAAAGCCATAACTGTCATGCCAAAAATATAGAGTTCAAGTCATATGAATAATCAGTTTGTGCATCACGATTAAAGGCTATTTTAACTCACTTAGTATACCAAGGTGCAAGCACAGCGCTCAATAAAAAATAGAACGTTATTCAGTTACGTAGGTGACATTAAAACAAGGTCAAAAAGAAGACGAACGCAACTTTCACTTTTAAAACCCACAAACTGCAGTCTGCGTGCAAGAATAAAGTCACAACACCAGCGTAAAAGCTAAATATATTCTGTTGTTTGGAGACCGCCCACTTTCGTTTGTGCACCAATAGGAAGCAGGACACGCCCTTTTACGTTGTAGCCACGCCCACTTGCTGGTGTAAATATGCCTTTGGGAAAGCAATAGCCTAGTGTTACTCTGAGATACATTTTTCTTGCTGGATGTAATGTAACATTTTCTGTTGTCCATTGTTGTATTTCTGCCGGGATAAAGTGGAAAAGAAAAGATATATATATATATATATATATACATATATATATATATATACATATATACATATATATACATATATATACATATATATATATATATATATATATAT